ATGTCCTCAAATACTCGGCGCGACGAGCGAGCATGGCAGGCTTAGGGTAGGCTTGGAGCAAGGAGCACGGGATAAAAAGAAAAAAGTGCTTGGTTGGTTGGTTAGTTGGTTTATCCAATCGATTGAGCGTTTGAGCGAGTGAACGAATGAACGAATGAATGATTAGACGACCCGAACGAGGAAAGAAATACAGTACTAGCAGTAGTGGTTGTGGTCGGTGCAGTACAATCACACACCGTATTACACGCCATCGCACTTACATTCTATCACACTGCCCATTCATTCATTTCATTATATCGCCATCGCCATTACCATTTCATTGATACATGACAGTAAAACACGGTGTCCCGGGTCCCGAGTTACTACTGTGAAAGTCAATCTCGGCCGTTTTCTTCTTTCCATAGACCTCGTGTAGACCTCGTACCGCACGAGGACCCAAGTACACATACATACATACATCCCTCGCGCTGAACATTTCTACATGTCTCAAGGCAGATGTTTTATGTGACCTACCTACCTCTATATAGCGAGGCGCACACACGCGAGAGAAAGAGGAAGAGAGAGAACATATACACAGACGCACAAAGAGCCTAGGGTTACGCATACTAACGTGATATGATATGTATGCTATGCTATCCCTTTTTTTTCCCCCGGCTTCTCTAGGCAGACCGTAGACAAAGGCATGAATAACTGATTGTTTAATAAAGGCGGAAAAATCAAGTCCATGTTTATCACTGGCTATGTATATATTATACCATACATCCTGCAGCCACATACCATGTCATGTCGTGTCATAGATGTTTACATTATTTGAGTGAAGAAGAGTTATGATGAACAACCAAAATAAATCGCCATTGAATTTCAAAGAATAGTTTCATACCCCAAAAGGGCCCTTAACCTCTCGTCAGAGTATGTTTCTTTCTCTGTCACACATGCACCGCACCAGCTAGATAAATACCTTCTCAAAAGCCCTCTTGCAGACTCATCACCAGAGCCTCGTCAATCGTTTCCTTTCTAAATCCAGGAGCTCGGCCCAGACAGGCACTCCCGAGAATCATGCGCTCGAGGAACATGTCCACATCGAACATAAGGGGGTTCGGCTTTTTGCTGAGGAGATCAGAAAAGGTAAGTGGTGAGGATGTAGGGTTGAGTGCCGCAAAGTCGGCCCAAGGATCGTCGACCGGCTTTCCATTGTTCCGGGAAACAGTGCTGAAGGGGACGGAGGAAGAGGAAGAGGAAGATGAAGATGTAGATGTAGATGGGAACAACGTGCTTGGCTGGGCAAACATCTCACCCAGTTCGCGGGCGATAAAAGGGTCAGTGATCGGATCGGCCAGGCCTTCGGCACCTATAATAGGACTTGGGGTGCGCAGGGTTGCATCGAGCGGGCTGCGGTCTGAGCTCGACGTCCCATCGCTCGAAGCAAGGGATGCCTTTACAAGTGGCAGGACATTTGGATCGACCTCAATAAAGCTGCTCTGGCCGTCCAGGTAGATGCCTTTGGTCTTGAGGTACTCTTCCACGTCGTGGCTGTCGAACCACACCCCGCCGAAGCCGATATTCTCGAGCATTTCCTGCACCGACGTCTCCATCCGCGGGGTCTCGGCCTGGACGTAGGGTTGAGGTCCAAATGCCTTGGCTGGACTGATCATGTTCGGCGGATACACCGGGTTTCCTTTGTCGTCGCGACGAGGGAAATGCGTTCCCGCCCCACCAATGTGGAAGAATGGCACGTTCCAGTTTTCGAGCGACTCGCCCGCCTTGCGCTTGAGCATTTCTTGGAAGCGCTGCAGCATCCGCTTGCGGTTAGAGAAGCAGAAAGTGAAGCGGAAAGCCCGTTTGATGTACTCTGGGTCGACATTCGGGTTCGTCAGGTTGCGAAACGCCCGTTCTAGGCACATTCGGTGGAGGCGACGAGCAAACGTCGTTTCCTGGAAGCTGTACGTGTAGGAGCCCTCGGGTTGGTGGGCGGGCTTGAGAGGCCGTTCCACAATCAGTTTCTCATAGGGATCGTCGAACAGCATGACGTCGGGAATGGTGGCGCTGAAGGACATCAGATCATCCAAGCCCTGGAGGCTGGTATTGTCCGTTGGCCACACGGTATCTGTAAGGGCGACCAAGGGATGGTGGTCTTTGGTTATCAATGGCAACTCCTCCACGTCTGCCTCGGCGTCGGTCGAGCCCTGATCCAAACTGACCGATCGACCTGCATCGGTGAGACGGGCTGGTCGCCGCGACGAGGACTTTGCGCTTGTTTTGACATTAGGCCCTCTATTGCTCTCACCTGGTTCGGATAAGGGCGGCTCATCGCTACCTTTGGTAAATTTGGCAATGGCCTCCTCTTCCTCGTCGGATTCAGGTGATGCCACCTTGGACAGAGCGACGAACTCTTCCGTGGCAGCCTGGAGTTGACGACCTAGTGAATAGTGCGAGGTCAGGATGCCGGCCTCGACCATGTTGTCGTGTAAAGCCAAAAAGGTCCGGTTCATTTGCTCGACGGTGGTTTGGAGGTCGGAGACCTTTTGCTTCAGCGCTGAGATGGTGGTTTCCTTTCGATGCCGGTATGCTCTCTGGGCCAGCCGAATCTGCGTCCGTCGACGGTCAGCCGCCGTTTCGTCGTGGGTGTCAAGTCGAGGTCGACCCCTTTGCTTCTTCTCGGTTGCTGCATCCTCACCATCGTTTGCGGACGAACGCTTGGTCGACTTTGATTTCTTTCGAGTCGAAGGCTGGTCCTGTTCCCCCGATGAATTATCATCGCCCGGGGTGGCAGCTAACACAATGCCCCCGTATAGCTGGCTGGGTGAGGCAGCTGCCTTTCGCTTACGCGGGTTCTGTTCAAAGTCCTCGTAAGGTTGCATGAGTCCCTGGGGATAGCGAGAGGCCGACAAGATCTCCAGATCTCCAGGCACGGGACGTTGGATGGCATCGGTCGTCATGAAGAGCTGTAAGGGGTCTTCTAGCACTGATTGAAGGGACGAATATGCTCGGCTGCTGCCCTGTGCTTTTCCGAATTTTTGCATCGTGACGGACATTGCCTGGGCACCAGCACCAGGTTGATTACTGAACCTGACTGAAGAGGGTGCTTGGGAAAGGCAGAGAGGTAGTGCCAGTAGACAATCTGGGGTAAGTCACACGGGCGACCACGGCGTTTGATCTCTGTGGATTCACCCTCTGGCCCAAGCAAGGTCGTGTCGAAATTTCCCGATAGAGGTAAGGAGTAGATGGTGCCTAGGGCTGGGCTATCTTTTCGTTTTGCTCCGATCAGATATCAAACGTCGAATGCCGCCACCCGATGGCGCTTCACCATGGGTTTCTCAGATGTGTCTTTTTCAAATACACACACCGTCTCTCCCTCTTTTGTCCACAAGTCAATCTTCTGCGCAATCCCACCTGTCAAGAGAACCGTCAAGAGGGCATCGGTTGACAGTCGAGGGCGTGGAGTCTCTCGAGAGGTATCTAGGAGCCAAACAGCGGAAAGCGACTTGTAATACCAGTTTCCAGTCTGATGGACGGCTGCTTTAAACACACCTGTCCGCAGGCCCGCGAAATTAGTCAGAATCCCTCGGGGTTTGCCAGAGGTATGTGCCTCATAAACGACCGGGAAGATCTTGGGGAGGGGGGCCATCAACCAGACGAAGGTTTCCCCCTATAAAAAGCTGAGAGCAGCCTGGCTTGTCGAACCCAAGCGGGCGGTCTTTGAAGGGCTTGGATGATGGCATGTTCGTGAAGCCCGAGACATGGCCGGCAGGGCCTGAGATGCGGCCAGATGCCTCAGGTGCGCGATCCTTGCTTGATGGGGCAGTTGGTGTCATCCATGTGCAGCAGGGTGGAATTTGATGCTAGGCTGGAAATGGTGTGAGCAGACGGTGATGAATAGTAATCACCTCTTCAATCTTTGTCGGCCGAGGTTGTGGATAGACGACAAGACTCCCAGGACTGCGTTTCTCACCGTACAAGTGAGTCGCATTGGCTGATGGCGGGACTCTTGGAAGCAGGTACGTCCGTAACGGCAGTGGTTGTGACCTGTAGGAGGAAGGGCGCCCCCCACTCCTTGTCAGATTCCTCCCTACAAGTGCCTAGACGGGCCCCCAAAAAACTTGCTGGTTTTACTGCTCTTAGGTAAGGTGGGCTGGGTGGTAAGGTTGATTCAGCCCTACTTGTTGTGCTCCTCCCGATGATGCTTGGATGCCTAGATAGACGAGTTGACTCAGCCATGAAACTCTGTCACTTATTATTTTACCCGCTGCTCGCCTGCTACAGGTTCCCTCTTCCCCCGTCTTCACCAACGTATAGAGTAGTTCTTACTTTCCTGTTTCTTCAGTGGCAACAGATTTGGTAGTAGTCTGCGCCCTTTGCAGAGACTCCGCACTGACGTATTCGGGTTCTCAAGGCTAGCTTAGGTACAAGAGAGGGACCGAGGAGATGAATCGATAACTGAGATATTTATTGTTCTTCCTTGCCCTAAACATATGGGGTAGTTGCAGATATGGAGACTACTTACCCCCCTGTTTAGGAAGGAGTTGTAGTATTATTGGATAACAGTGACATGTATTGTATCTTCTGGAATCCTGCTGGGTGGCCGTAAACCCACCCTCGCAACCCCTTGCAAAGAGTGCGGTCGAAATCATGTCGCATTGAATTCAATGTAATGTACAAACAGAAAGACCCTCTTCATCATGTCCAAGATCGCTCTCTGTGCCTCTGTATTAGCTTGCTATAAAGTGGTATCGTAAAATACATGACCTCCTGTTCCTCGCTGCCCAAAATTCCCTAGTCCGAAGAACCCAACCAGAAAATAGAAAAGGGAAAGGTTCCCTTGCTCATTTGCATAGATCATAACTTTCGTCTTACATCAAAAGTCCCACCCAAGAATTGTAACAAATGTTGATGAGTTATGGGGTTGACCACGGACATCTATTGATTCCGTGTGAAGGGTCTGGCTGAGCTGAGCCGTCCGACCTCTTCGTTGTCTTCCTCAAATCCTCCAGAAGCTGTGTGGCTCATGCACGTTCCATGACCTCAAAGATACCATCCAGCACCACCGGTGTTTGCATGGTTTCATTCATGAATTCCATCATTGAGCATTGTGTGGAAGATGTTGTCGAGGTAGCTGTGTTCGCTCGAGGGCGGGGTTCTAGTAGTCCCAGCCCAATGATCTCAACTTCGTCGGCGTACAGTTCTGCCTCGAGGGCTAGGTCGATGGCAGAGGGTTGGCGACGGATGTGATGGCTTGACAGTGGGGAGATCGGGGACAGAATAGCCGAGTCAAGGTCATTGGTAGGTAGGTGTCGTCGACCTCCGAAGCTGCTGAAGGAGGAACTCGGTGAGGATCGGATGGACGAGGGCGCGGGTGAGGACGACGAAGACATGTTGCCTGATGGACTCTTTGCTGACGTTCGACGTCGAGGATTGTGGCTAAAGATGGTTTGGAGATGGAGACGGACTTTCGAGGACGAGGTGTGACTGCGAAAGCTCCTGGGCATGGGTTTAATGGATGTGTCTTCGTGTAGAGCCTCAAAGAGAGAGACTAACTGTGCAACTGCCATCTTTCTGGATGGTAATGGAATTATGTAGACGTCGAGTTTCTGGAATTCCTTCCCACGTCTCAATGTCTGAGAAGCTCCTTTTTGAGCAGTCGAGCGACCTTGGCCAGCAGGTCGAACTCTTTTTGAGCTAAGCAATGTGGTCAACGGGGTAGAGCGGCCCAGGTGTATCAAGGTCTGCCCAAGTGGTCCCAGGGGAACTGCCGTAATATCAATCCAAAAGTATCGAAAGCACAAGCAGACGCTGAGAACAGAAGTGATATACAAGAAGAGCTGAGAAAAGGAGACAAAAGCTGGAGAAGGTCAGCACAATATTAATTCCTGGAGGAGGATTGTTGAGATCCAAAGTTATGTGACAAGCCGTCCGGATCAACGCAGTAAAGTAGGTAACAAGCCACCCTGCGCATGGGCCTGCTGCTTCCCTGTTATGACGGCCCCGTATGCGAACTAATACCTCGTAGACATGCAGGCAATAGTTTCGCCCAGAAACATTTGCGGGAACCAGGGCAAGCAATCCAGGGAGCAAAAATGTCACGCCCCTCCCTGCCCTGGGGCTTGAAAATAATGGGCCTCGTCGTAATGGCTCCTGCATAACTTTCCTGCGAAGGGAAAGGTGGAGGAGCGTATTCGAAGCCATCAAGGATGCGAAGGGAAACAAGCTCAGGGCTTGGTGGTACCTAATGTCAAACATCTGTGTTCTTGGAGCTTTGGAATCTGGTACCCGAGTGTCTGAAGCGATCAAGAGAACACCCCCTAGTCTCGTCTGATGATCCTTCTCCCCCTTTGATATGCGACTGGTCCTTGACACGGAACAGAGACTACTGGAGCCACTGTTGCGGCAGAGATCCCAGCTTGGTTGCACCGTTGCTGAGGAAGCCTCGGAGAGTGAATATGCCCCAATATGACTTTCCCGATCTCCCTAACTTTTGTACTGATCCACAGTCTGTTCCCGAAGTTGATGCACTTCTCCACTGACCAGGGCAACGATGGACCCTGAGCTAGGGTCGAGAGGCCACTAGCACGACTGGGGCGTGTTTTGGCGTAGCTTGACGCGGCTGATACTGTGGCCAAACACGTACAAGAGGATTGCGAGACCAAGCCAAGGTTTGATCCGCTTGGCTCATCTCATTTCCAAAGACGCGATGAGCGTCGTGCAGGCGTTTCAGGGGGCCCGACAAGCGAGCTCAAACCTTGATCTGTAGGATTATCGGTGTCAGGTCACTCAGGTGAGAGAGGGGTCTTTTGTTTCGTCGTCGTAGGTAGGGAGCTCTCGTACTCGGTACTGGCAGATTAACACAAGCGACAGAGGGGGAGGGGCGATGGGGGCGGAAGAACAGGCACTGTCTATTGGTGTATCATCGTGGAATGTTGTACTCGTAACTCTCTTGTCTCGTGAGTATCGCGTCTGGTGGCATTTTCTGATACATAATTTGTTGGACGAAATCTTGTCAGTTGAACCTGCGCAGCACGAAACCGGCTGCTGGAAGAGAAAGTGCAACATTTGCTCCCCGTCACATGATCTTCCATCAAGAGTCTCTCCCATGAAGTGATACATTGGTTGACAGGGACATGAAATCGACCACAATTCCAGGCATAGACAAGGGTGGTCATTTACACATCCTGGAAGATCGACACAGCCACAAGCTTCTTCTGGATTTCCTGTCAAAAATCCTTGTACATAATATGTACAAATACGGAGCAGAATGCATCGGGACAGCCGGATTGCGGACAGAAGCCATGATTCCACAAACATGCATGGATGGGATTTCCGTTTCGTCGCTGGACAGACATTGCAGCTCTCTTGCTCTCTTACCCTCTTCAACTTCATATCGCTCGAGTTCCATAATCAATATAGTGTGCATGATGTACATGATGACTGGGTGCCAGTGCATATTCGCCGTCTTCTTTTCAGTCATCCACCCAATCTCATTCCCTCACATCAAAGGTGAAAACGCCCTCGCTATGCTCATCTATTTTCATCTCGGATCCTGGTATCATTATCCACCTCGTTCCCATCTTAATATGCACAAATCAAGAAATGAAACCAAAAGACTTGGGTCATGAATCGTCATGAAACATCGTGCCAAGCATATTACCATCTCTTTTTCTTTCACCCTCTCAGACTCAAAACTCACTCACCCTCGCGTGCTATCGCTTCGTGTTCTCCTCGTCGTAAAGCTCCTGCGGATACTTTCACCCCATGCTGAATTGTCAAAGCTCTCCATCATACCCTGCCCATCTAGCCCGCTGGCGCTGCTGCCGTGTCGACTATGGGCTAGTGTCGGCGTTGTTGGAGACGATCTCGTTGCTCCTGTTGCTCCGTGGTAGGCAGTATCCACTGATCCCAGTCTCGCCCGCACTGGGCTACTTCGCGGTGAGCTCTCCAAGTCCACCGGTGACGTGCTTCGCAAAGCACCTGAAGGGGGAGGCATGGTCGTGTCGATGGGTGGGAGGTTGATTGATTGTTTCTTCGGCGTATATGATGGTGTAGATGAGGTGAAATCGCGTGGCTCGGTGCCGCTACTGCCTTCCATATTGTCGTCGGGATCCTCAATAAAGATTTCAGGGACAGGAATAGAAGGTGGTGCACCCAAGCGTGAGTTCCTCCGTCGTTCGACCGCTTTTCGAAACTTACGAGACCAGTGTAACGTATCAAAGAAGCCGACCACTGTATTTCTGCGGATGCTTTCTTGGACTCTTTGTAGTCGCGCTCGTCGCCGAAGGAACTCTTCCAAGCGGAGACTTCGAGAGTCCGTAATCACGTTGTAGTGCGTCAAAAGGAACAGAACCGCGGTGAAGGGAATGCCACGGTCTGGATCAGCTGTTGACATGACTTCCTGGTAAAAGATGTTGATCCGTGCACGGCGCTGCCGGATTTCGGCCACAGGAATCTGGCTAACACGTTCTGCCAACTTGTCGAGATCAATGCCATCCACTCTTCTTGCTGCTGGTTTGACTGGATCACCCGGCTGCACTGAGCAGTCCTCTCGGATGGCTCTGACGGTGAAATCACCGTCGTAAATCCGCATCTGCCATATACCGGAAAGTTCCTGCTCATTGTCAGTGACACCGAATAAAGAGCGCTATCGACTCAGACCTACCCCTAGAAGGCGAGGGAACTGTTCCTTTGAAATGAAACCGGTACCGTTTGGATCGAACTCTGCCCAGGCTTGTTTGAAGCGTCGAATCTCGTCCCGACTCACAATGGACATGCCGCTGCTCTGCTGATAGACATACGAAAAGCTCTCAAAGATCATTGAGACAAACAGAGACACGAAGATGTACATGCTGATAATGTTCCAGGAGATGAACAATGCCCTTGCCCAGCCGGAGCTGCCACAGTCGCTCGCGAAGAAACTATCTTCTTTCACGCACAGGGGCGGTTCAAGTCCGGCAAAATCTTCCATGATTTGATTCCAACCTTCTCCAATGCTGGTCCGAAACAAAAGGATGAGGGCCTTTGGAACGGTGCGGAAGTTGACATTGTTGCTCTCGTTTTCTCCAAAGCGCGTGAGGCCAAAAGCCTGCGTCAGGGCAATTGCGAACACCAGGAACAGAACAAACCATGTTGCCAGCAAATTGGCGATCAATGGCAGCGAGGCGGCAGCAGTCTTGAACAATTGATCGAGCTGATTGTTCCGCGGAATCAGGAGAAAGGTGACGGAAACCAGGAAAAGCTTATGGAGCTGTTGGAAACCTCCACTGTTGACCTTGGACAACGAGATCAGAGACGTGACGAAAATCCCTGACACCGCAAGAACCGAATAGATGTCCCATGAGCTCCGTCGAAAACGTTTCCACGAGAGGCCGATGATCCTGATAATGACATTGGCGATTAGTACAACCGTAAAGGCAAGGAAAATGTATTCCCGCACAGTTGCCCACCACTCTGGCTCGGGATAGAAGTCAATCGTGAGGAGAATCAGGTGGAGGACCAATATTGTGGTGATGAACCTTTGCCACTTGCCCCGTTTCTGTATCGAAAGGTCATAGCACCATTTCTTCCACTTTGCAGACTGTTCACCTAGTGATCTCTTGGAAGGAGAGATCTGCTTCAAGAGCTTCCGCAGCTCCAGCCATGAGCGTTGTTCTGCTGTCAAAAAGGCAACACCTGTCTGCTCCGTGTAATTTCGCATGAACACCGAGATGAACAGTGTAAGGACAAAGACAGCACCCAACAAGTTGAAGATGATGAAATAGACTGCGTTTCCCTGTGCCGCAAATGGCTGTGGTTGTAATCCAGTGCCAGTGACACTCGTGCCCGACCACATCACGTTCACCCATCCTTCTTGGGAGACAATCTGGAACAGAATGAACAGGGCGCTGCCGAAGTCGTCGAAGTCGAACCAGGGGTTTGCAACCTGCCTGGGCGCCAGTACAGGCCAGTTGAAGGGAGTAGAGTTGAATTCTCCAACACAATTACTCAAGGCACTGTAGCCAAAATCTCCATCGTTACAAGCTTGCATTTTGCCACTAAACAAATTGACTCCGAGGATGGCGAAGGGAATCAGCAAGCTCATGGAAACGAAGGCGGCCGCAAGGACTTTGTAGCCACCAACAATGATAACCGAATAAAAGGTGTCTCGCGCAGTGTCACTAATGTTGAGCAAGCGCAATGCTCTCAGCGCTTTAAAGGCACCAACGGCTCGAGAGACGCCGTCGTCGCGGAACATAGCAGTGACCACATTGATCCATAGCGTGATGAGGACCACACCGTCAATAAACCCCCAGACACTTCGAAAGTATGCATGTGGCGTGAAGAAGAGACCGTCCGCAATTACTTTTATGATAGCTTCAACCGTGAAGAGGATTGCGAAACCCAAGTC